CTTGGTTGTTTTCTTAAAGTTTCGTTACCCAACTACGTAATATATTCAGTGCATTTCTCTTCTCAGTGTTTCAACTGCCCAAGGGTATCTTTCTATTGGCCTCTTCCTATAGCTATGTGGAAAAGCATTGAGCTGTGCAGGTTTCATCCAGCTGAGCTGGTAACCAGCAACAGAATGACCAAGCTAAGCCCCATCTGAGCTTCCAGTGCAAACATCTGCTTCCGTTTGTTCATCCTAGCCTGCTCTTAGTCCTCGGGGAAAACCTATTTTGGTCCCGGGCTGTTGGTGAGTCACACTTGTCTGCAGAAGAGCCAACGGTAGACAGAACATTGAAAAGAGTGGCTGAGATCCACTGTTGTCTTCCAAATGTACGTCCATTTCCTTGCCCTGAGAGAAGCAAGTGAGTCAACAACTTGGAGTAACTGGTTTTTACTGGGATGCAGAGCAAAAGCAGCTTGAGTGTCTATTGGTTCTGAAAGGTTTGCGATTCAGCCATGATTCGATTCAAATTTGCAACTGGAATGGTTGATTTGGTCAACTTTGCAGCTTGGTTGAGATCTGGGCAATTGTCAGATTGATTCCTCTCAAAAGATCCCCTTGAAAAACCAAAGCCAACCCTTCAAAGAGCTGAACGGATTCAGAACTTCTTGACTGATTTGACCCAACAAATCAATTTGGTTTATCTGTTCAGAAGGTTTGATGCAAATGGCTTGATTAAATCTAATCTTCTTTAACTTGAATTTTTGAATCAGAGCATTGCTCAGGCCCTATTGGCTAATATTCTGAGCATCACCAACACAGGAAGCAGCCTTATGTCAGTTCAGAGTCCTGGCCCATCTAACTTGTACTACCTGGCAGTGATTTATTATCTGGATTTCAAAAGAGGAGTCTTTTCTAGCCTTACTTGGAGATGACAAGAACAGCCCCTGGCTAGCCAGTTACAATTGTGTTCCATTATGCATTTCATTCTTTCTTTTGCAATAACAAATAAACTAAGTCTCCATAACATTTGGAGAGAAGAGTAAAATGAAATAATGGACATTGATTTCAATTCTTGGAAATGAAGGTCAGGCTGGGGACCACTGTCCTCCTTTGCCACAAGGTATTTTCTATTTTGTTAAATTAAAACCATCTGTTTAAAAGTAGGGGATTCAGTGACCACCAACAGATGTGTCTGCCTCTGGCACTCTCAGTCTAATGTTTAGTTCTGGTTGCTGAACTGTTTTGCTGGAGAAATAAGGGGACAGGATAATGGAGGTGCTTCCTGTAATTCTTGACATTCGCTCCCCCACAACCCATGGTAGGATGCTGTGGCAGTACACACTTCACAGATTGGGACATTTGAGCAGGGGTGTCTGCAGGATGTGGTCAAAAAGGTCAAGATGGCGGGCCCTAAATGGGTGTTTTTTTCTGGTCATCCCCTGTCCCATTGAAAACTTGGGAGAAATAATGCACACTCTGATCCATTCTCTGGAATACCACCCGTATTTATGGGAAGGGAGAATGCAAGAAGCAAGGGAGATATGCAGAAGTAGGAGCAGAAGTTGACACTCCATCCCCAAGAAGTCCCAATTCAGCAGAGCAAATTGGGTGTTCTAGAAGAATTATGCAAGACACAGGCAATTTCCCCCCCTGTTTTATATTACTTTATTCTCCACTTTTCAAAGATTGCTTACATGGGCCGGTTGTTACGGCCAAGAGGAACAGCTCAAAGAGTTATGCAGGGAAAGAGTTTCCTCAACCCCTCTGAAAATGTTATGTAGCCATCGGTCTGTCATCTTGAGATTTCAGCAGCACTTCCCTTCCCCCATATTTTCAAGCTTATCTTTACTGTGATTAAGACTAGAAATGTGATCTAAAGAGAATGAGAGAAAGAGAGAGATCTTCACCATTAAAGATGGTGCCCAGGCCCCAATCTGGCCTACAGGAGATTTGTGGACCACAGACACTAACTTCCATCCGTCTCTGTAGTGAGTTGAAACTGGACACACCCTATTCTTCTGGAATACAACCACAAGAGAGCTTCATGTAGAACATTGGTTGAGTACAGCTACGAAGATAGAAAGGCGTTTGTAATTTCTGCCATGTGCTTCTCGGTCCCTTGTTCTCCTTCCAAGGGGACAGTGTCAAACAAGAGCATAATCTGTGATGAAGGTAGGTGCTTTCTTCTCTGGACAGATGTGAAGACGTCATCATTACAGGACACACAAGATAATCTGGTTCCCAATGGGAGACAGCACCTACGGAGGGGGTAGAGTGTCTTTCCCTGGTGTCTCTTCATCTTCTTGATGCTCAAAAGCCCTGTGGGCCTGCTCCAGTCCCTGGATGACTTCTAGAAGGTGAACAGCTGCTCTCAGCCTTCGTTGACTTTCGTCTGAAGTTGGGTGTGAGGTAGAGAAGAGAAAGAGAGAAAGAAAACAATAATGGGAGAATTTTCCTGATCTTCTTTCCAAAATGTTTACTGTTTGTTCTACCCCTGGACTGTTCAAATCATTTCCTTTTTTTTTTTTAATTATATTTTTATTCAGCATTTTGAAAAAAGAAAAAGAAGAGAAGAGAAAAAAGACAGGAAGATCAAACCCAAAGTGAAGAAACAGAATCATTGTAGAGTTCTATGATGCAAGTCATTTCCTGAAGTGGTGACAATAAATCCTTTTTATTTTCTAAATCCTTTCTCCTGGATAGTGAGGAAAATCCATGGGTGATCTTCCAGCATTTGATCCAAACCAAAAGATTTAATCAATCTAAATAGTCAAGTCAATAACTGAACTTATATACTCCAAAATTGAATGGGTTAACTATTATTGCAAAGCAATCAAACAATCTTCGTCAGTTTAAAGACAGCTATAAGGATAAGTTTTCACATCATATTATGAATAACTCACAGAATCGCTCTTTTCTTGGGCCTGTATCCAAGAACACCGGAATTGAAACAAAAAGGAGACAAAACCAAACTTCAAATAAAAAATGGAAATAAAGCAAAATGCCAGCTACATTTAAAAACAAGCATTATCCAAGGGAATTTGCTGGGTATACAGTTACATTTTCAGCCTCACTGAACATCTGGCCAATCGGCTGATGTATCAACGTGACTTGGAAATCTTGATGACTCTGTCACTGATTTCAGGAGATTCAGGTTTTTTTATACTTTGTAAATATGACTGAGAACTAGTGTGGTGTAGTGGTTAAGGCAGCAGGCAAGAAACTGGAAGACCATGAGTTCTAATCCTGCCTTCTAAAGCCAGCTGGATGACCTTGGGCCAGTCCCTCCCTCTCAGCCCTGGGAATAAGAAGGCCAGGGCAAACTCCTTCTGAAAATCTTGCCAAGAAAACTGCAGGGACTAGTCCAGGCAGTCTCCGGGAGTCAAGACTGAGTCAAAGGTATAAAAATAAATAAATGCACTGGATAGAAAGAAAGAAGGATGTAATATCATGGTGCTGCAAGAAAACTTTGTTCTTAGCAATTCCTTCTCACAAAGCTCTGTTGTATGAACTGCATAGATGAATCTGATCAATTTCTTGTAAAGAAGACAGGGGGAGAATTGAACTTTCAGACTTGCAAGATTCTGTTAATGTAGCCTTACAATAAAGTAGAATTAGCTCATCTGGTCGTGTTTCCTGTCTGGTCTACCTCATAAGGCTGACATCAGTCTTGCAAGCCTGAAAGTACAATTCTCTCACCGTCTCCTTTACAGCGCAAGAAACTAGGGAGGGTCTCTTCTGAGCTTCTTGCCGCACCCACTATCCAGCTATGGGCTATGCTCCCTCTTATCTGACCGATCCCTTAGCTGTGTCTTGTTGCCCTGTCACATTCCCACATACCATTAGATATTCTGCTATTGTCTACATTGGTTAGATCCCACTGGCACTGCTGGTTCTCCTTCTGGACACCACTTTTAAAGGAATTCTGAGAAGCCGGTGACGGTGCAGAAACAGCCAGCCAGAAAGGTTGTCTAGAGCCTAAGTCCTGGGAGAAGAGATCAAAGAAAGTTTGGCCTTCAAAAGAGAAGATTAAGAAGGAGATAGAACTGCAGGTTTGGGCTAAAAGATGAGTTTGTTGCCCAAAGCTAACCTCTATCAACCAGAATTTGGGATTTGGAACACTAAATTACAAGAAAACAGTTTTTGAAGGAAACTTAGGTCAATCCTCCAAGGACAAGAACAATGTGACAATGGAGACAATAACCAAAACCATCAGTTAATGTTTCAGGGGGCAGCTGGATAGCCCTCGATCAGATTCAGTAGCCTCATTTCCAACTTGGTGATTCCATATTTCTAACTATTTCATGGACATTTGCAGCCAACTAAACCAATGTCAGAACTGTCTCTGGAACTTCTCTGTTAACCTGTTCCTTCTCTTCTCATCAGGGTACTGGGTTTAAAATGTGAGCATGTCATTATGGGAAGAAGAGAAGAAATGCTATTCCTAACCAATGGTACTGAAGTGGCCGACTCGTGGTGTTGTCTTATATTTAATTTTTGGCCTGTGAAGATGCACAGGTCTTTCCTGTACTCCTGGAATTCCCTTTGCAATGCTTCAGCCAATCTCACCCAACCCCATGGGCAGAAAAGGGTTAGCAAATCTCTCTAAATCTCAGTTTTGCTCATGGAGAACCCCTTGTGGGGGTGTGAAGTGGTCCAAGAAGCCTACAGTTCCTCACAGACCTTGGTTTGCTGTTCAGCATCTAAGGGATGACCAAATCTCGTTGGACATTTGAACAAAATATCACATCTCCCTCGGTTGGCGTTGAACTAATTATCTATGATTCTCCAGTTCATTCCTCCGTGTTTGCTTAAGGCATTTTTAACTTTCTGGCAAAGCAAATATTGGTCATCCATCCAGGAGATCGATTCATTCACCCTTGATTAGGGATGCACAGACTTGTCATGTGATAGTAGACTTAGAAACAGATTCCTCCTGATCGGGAAGGCTTGGAAGGGGAGCAACAAAGGTGAACTACCACACCTTCTTTGAGTTTCCACCCACTCACAGAAACTATACAACAGCTTATTGGGGATTTTTTTTAGCCTCTGAAACCACTGGTTTAAGTTGAGATGAGGTCACACAGCAGTCCTTAAATACACCTAAGATCCGGGTGAGAAGATTCAGCAAGAGAAGGATAGCTCTTGGGGAGAGTTTTTGACAAGGGAGGGAACGATCACGTGGCCAGCAGTACACAACATGTTTGTGCATGTCGGTGGCCCCGTGCTGTGCAGAACAGGAGGCCGATCCCCAGCCCTAGGTGACAGCAGAAGAATTGTGGCAAAGTCATGCTACAGAAAGGAAATGTCAGCCTTACCAGGTGGACCAGACAGGAAACACAACCAGATAAGCTAATTCTACTTTGGTGTAAAGCTACATTAATAGAATCTTGCAAGTCTGAAAGTACAATTATGTTACCGTCTCCTTTACAGCCCGAGAAACTAGGGAGGCTCTCTTCTGAGCCTCTTGCCCTTCCCACCATCCAGCTGAGGGCTAGGCAGTCACTTATCTGACCGTTCCCTCTTCACGTGGTCTCCCAAGGTCTTTCCCACATACCATTACAGGAAGCAGCACTGGCTGAGTTACACATTGTTGATCATGCGTGGAGGCACCCCCCTTCTGTGGCTTATTTTCATCGCCTTGCACTCCTCTGCCTTTCCTCCACCCCAGGTCCTAGGCAACCTAAGAGACTCAGGCCTACCTTTTTTGGCTGTGTTGCTTTGTTCCTGCGCAGCCTCTGTGCTTGAAATCTCCTGGTACTTTTCCCTACGGAGTGGAAAAGAAGGCAATTTATCACAGGGCAATAAGCCTTAAAAGCCAGTTGAAAGCAGCAATTAATCACCTGCATCATTAATTGCAAGCTTTAGAAGCATGGTCTCAGGAGGACAGGGTATCCCAACACCTGGAATGACCTTCATGTAAGCAATGCAGACAGAGAAACCACCTTCCTATGGTTTTAAAAATAATTTCCAACCAATCCGCCCTGAACTCAAAATAAGATACGCCAGTCAAATCTGTGCAAAAGGAGCCGTCAACCTATATATGCATTTTGCCAGCAAATCAATACAGCGGGTCCTACAGGAGAGAAACAGCCCACAATGAGAAAAAGAAAAAACATGATTTAAAGAATGATTATCTATCTATCTATCTATCTATCTATCTATCTATCTATCTATCTATCTATCT